CCCAAGACACAAGGCGCTCGTTCAATCCACAGCTTTGTTTTGGTTTGTTGAATGCCTGTGACCTGAAAATTCCAGATAAATTCATTTATGCCGCCAGAGGGCAACAAACCAGAAGGGAGAATTCAGTTTTAACATAAAATCGTGTACTAACTAGTGGTGTGCCCTTGAAAATATCTCCTATTAGTTCTTCTTTTTATTGTTTTTATGTGTAAAAGAAAAACATATGGAAAAGCCCAAAATCTCTCAAACGATTGTGGATTCAGATTGTCTGAGGAGGGTATCTTAGTTTACTAGGGCTGTCAGAATAAAAGACACTTAAGTGGGTGGCTTTGAAAAACAGGAATTTACTGTCTGACAATTCTGGAGACCAACAGTCCCAAGCAGGGAGGGACATGGCTGTATACATCCTTTCAGATGGTTTCTTGTTGCTGCTCGTAATCTATTACTGTTCACAAAGTCATATGTAGGTCTCTTCTGATCATGTTATGTGATCTCTAGCTGTCTCTCCCTATATCCCTGTCTATTCTCTCCCTTTACAAAATACCAGTAAGATAGGATTGGTTCAAAAAAAAATCCATTGTTATTGGACAAAAATTAACTCACACCTGACACCCCATGGGTTTGAGTTCCAAGGCTGTCAATACCATGAGAGGAAACTGCCCATCTTTCCTCCATAGGGTGGCTTGGTGGGTTTGAACTTCCAGAGGGTTAACTCCCTTCAGGTTAGCAGCATGACTGACCCTCCAGGATCTTCACCAAGGCTGGTCCAGTAGGATTTGATTGAAAATATCACCAAAGATATCTAAGACCTCAACAGATATTATAGGAGTGGAAGGAGATATTTCAGTCCGTAATAGATTTAGTGAACTGTTAGTTGCTGAACTGTCATGTGTATAGGAGAAAAGAAAGGCGAGGAGCCAATGGTTTATATATCTACTCGCAGGAGACTTGATGGCACATAATAACAATAACATACTGTGAAAGGTTTGGAAGCAGGAGAGGCATTCACTTCCTAAACAATATGCCTCTGGAAACTCTATGAACTTTCACAAATGTCAGTAGTTGTAGAGGGGCTTCAGGCCTTTTGTTCATAGGGGTGCTATGAGTTGTGTTCAACTCGAAGGCAATCACCAACAATACCAACCTTCCCTAGATCAAACCTGTGTGAACCTATAAACCGATATCAGTCATTAACAGAAGAGCTGATGGTTCAAAACCACTAGCTGCTACGTGGGAAAAAGATGGGCCGTCTCCTCCAGTAAAGGTCGATAGTCTTGGAAATCTGACAGAGTCACAGTGAGTTAGAATCATCCAAATAACAGGGAGTTGGTTATCTGCTTATAAATTCTGACTCCATTAACTACAAAAATATTTTAACACTGCTGAAATTACAGACAGCCTTTAGTTCACTCTCTGTCTTCCATTACTTTTTGATCACCTACTCCTGCTTCATGAGCTGCGACAAGCACCAAAAAAAAAAAAAAAATCAAAGGTGAATTTTGAAAGAGTCTTTTCCCTCCTTGTACTCAGTCCAATGGGGAGGCAAAGGTAACCTGCCTTTGATAGCACCAAAGCAGAGGATGACATCAATGCACACTAAAGCAGGAAGTGATCAAGAACACCTTCAGGTAGGTGACCATAAAAAAACAAAACAAAACAAACAAAAAAAATAAAACCAAACAAAAAGACACAAAACCAGAAACGAAATCATGATTTTAATTCATCAAATTACAAACTGGTCAAAAATCTACTAATCAAAACCTTTTCTGTGCTACAGAGAGAAACTAATGGCCAGGAAGTTAATTTAGTTATCCAAAGTGAGTAAGCAAGTTTCAACCATGATCTCCACTCAGCTTACTGACAACAGTTTGAAACTAACTCATAGCAAAACCTCCAGTGGGTTTTCAGAGGCAGAAAATCATAGGGGAGGAGACTGCCTACCTTTTTCCCATAGAGCAGTTGGTGAATTAGAACTTCCTGCCCTGTTCTTGGCACAACTAATTCTAATCCACTCAACCACCCGACCTCTCTTAACTATGTTGTTGTTTGTCACTGAATTGGAACCAATTCCTAACTGATCCTCCAGCAGGTTTTCAGAGGCAGTAAATGGCATGGGAGGAGACTGTCCATTTTCTCCCTCAGGGAAGCTGGTGGATTTGAACTGCATGCCTTAGGATTCACAGTCCAACTCCCTACCACTATGTCACCAGAGATCTAGGTAGATATTACTGCACATTTTGTTTTGATAGACATCTTTTATTATTATTAAAAGACCTTTATGTTCTGGAGGTAATTTAGCAGAAACCCTTCTTTATCAGTTTAATGATATAAATAGTTAATCATATTTTAATAAGAGAGAAAGAAAAAAGTACATTTTGTATATGGAGTTGGTAGTAATGCAAATATCCCCTCTTCCATGAGCTCCATGAGCTGCTGGTGAACATGTTCAGATTTATCCAACGTCTCTCTCAGATTTTCTCCTGAGCTACCACAAGTCCTCACAACCTGACGGAAAAAACATGACGCTTCAATAACAGATCTGGGTTTGTCTCATTAGCCCCGACCCTGAAACACTGAATGAGACTCATATAAGGAAAAGGGGAAATTATTTTTTCTCTTTAACTCAAAGCTCAATGCCATGGAGTCAGAACCTATGGGGACGTGTCCCTCCATTGGGTTTTCAAAGCTATAAATCACATAGGAGGAGACTGCTCATCTTAGGCATTAAGGGGGTTAAGAAGTTGCCGGTTTTTGAGCAACGCATCCAGAGACACCTGGAGAGACAGGCCTCGTGACAAACTCTGCAACTGCTCAGCACACGTGGTCACTATGGCACAATCTACTCTCTACTATAATAATCAACAACACTGTTGATATTATAGAAACGTGTCCAAGTTTATGATTTTCTTGGAAATTTTGCTTCTGACCTCATCATCTAATGTCACTTGGGATGTTCAAAGTCTGTGATTTTAGTAATAGGGAAATATAAGAGCTCATCACATTAAAACAGAAATACTTAGGGAATCCATAATCTCTAATAGCTTGCCATCTGTCTGGTTCTTGCTGGCAATGGATTTATCCTGCTTAATGCAGATGGTGATCCAAAAACCCATTTCCCCTCGAGTCCATTCTGAATCACAGTAACCCTGTAGGGCAGAGGAGAGTACCCAAGGCTGGAAACCTTAGTGGAAACTGGGAAAAAGTCTTTCTCCCTTGGCGCTCTGCGAGGCTGGTTGTTGTGAACCCCTGAATGCTCATCTAGCTGTCAAGTGCTTTAACCATTGCACCACTCGAGTACCTTCAGATGATAGTTTGTTGTTGATATGTACCATCGAGTACAACTGGATCCCAAGCTGGCCCTCCAGAAGGTTTGCAAAGGTAGTAAACTGCACGAGAGGATATGGCCCATCATTCTCCTGTGGATTAGCTGGTGGATTCGAACTATATGCCTTTGGGTGGCAACACAACCACTCTTTACCTCTGAGCCACCCTTTATACTGGCGGTGAAACAGGGTTTTACACAATGGATTTCAGAGCTCCTTAACCACAGTTACTAATTTACCAATTTGTAAGTCAATATTTCTCAATATAAAATCAATTTTTTCCCCCCAATGCTGACTCCAAGTAAGGTTGCCATGGGCGCCACATGACATCTGTTCTGGCGCCAATAGTTGCCTTAGAGTCACCTACAGTTTCTCCTAATAAATAATCTCGAACAGTTTTCCTGGGCTCTCTCATCAGCATGCTTTTTGCCTGACCCTATTGTCCAACTGTCCAGTTTAATTCTCCAGAAAGGGCATTTTTAGAGGCAGGACAAAAATCTTTTTCCTCTGAGAACACCATTTCCAAATGGCCGCCCAAGGTCCTAAATCCAGCCACTCAGAGCCGGGACCAACGGTGGTTTCCTTTGCAGAGCAGTAAGACCCAAGTGCCTTCCTAAGTGGACGTCGGAAGCCAGAAAGAAAATCCGAACAAACAGGGACAAGTAGAAACCCTCACCAGTACGCTGGAGAGGTCCCCGGTCACAGCCCAGGGCTCCATTCTTAGGCTTGAGAGGGTCCTGGGAAGCAAGCAGATACTGCTTCCCCATTCAAGTCAGAGAGAGCAAGGTGCGCAGGGTCGCAGGTCAGAAGTTGAATTTTAACCTAGCCTGCGCTTGGATGCAGTGCCTTTGCAGCTCGGGCACCACAGTGGCACCGGGCTGGAAGAGAACGTGGCCGGCTGGCGCGGGAGAAACTGCTAGTTGCCGCCGCCTGGGAGCTGCTGGCAGCGAGGAAGGACACGACCCCTGCTGCCCCCCGGTGCACGAACCCGAGAGCGCAAACCCTGGAAGAGCGGGGCTCAGCTGCCCCGCCACTGCACCCCTGGCTCCCTCAAGGCGGTCTGAGCTCCGTGCTGCCCTTTCCAGCGAAGGCTCGGCTGCGGCAGCCCAGGTTCAGTGCGCCCCACACAGGCCACCCAGGCCACCCTTGGGGTGCGTCCTGCCTGCCCTCGAGCAGCAGCGCGGGCACCCGCCACCTCAACCACCATCGCCTCGGGCGCCCAGGCAAACTTCCCTCCGCCGAGTGCCGACTGGCGCCTACCCTGTCCTCCCCGGTCCCGGCTGCAGGCGCCCTCCCCGGCGCGCCACGCTTCCTCTCTGCCACTCTCCAACCCCGAGCCCGGGCGCCCAGCGGTCCCCCGCGCATCCGCTCCAACAAAGCCCGTGACTGGGAGGGTGCCTGGAGAGGACAAGGGGCTGGGAGCGGTGGCGAGGGCTCTGGGGCCGAGAGAAGCAACCCTTGGCCGGACGACAGGGAGACGTTCAGGGGCAGCAGGGACCAGGCGGGGAGAAAGGGGGATAAAGTGTCCGGTTCTCGGCGGCGCGAACGCCTTCTTGGCCCGTCCCCGTTCGCCCGCTCCCCCGGCCCGAGCGCGCCCGGCTGTCCCGGTGGGAGTTGGCAGGAAGAGAGGGGGTTCCGAGGGGACGCGGCGGCGCGGAGAAAGAGCCGCTCCCTTACCTCTGTCCAGAGTGAGCGGCTGGACCACTGTCAATGTCGCCATGTCTGCCGTGGGAGCCGAAGTGACGCTCGGCTTCAGCATCAGCAACCGCTTGTAGTGAGAAAAAGAGGAGGAGATTGGGGGCGGGGGTGGAGAGGAGAGACGGAAAGGAGGGGGACTAGAGGGGGAGGAAAAGAAGGTAGTGGTGGTGGAGGAGAAGAAAGCTTGGGGGGTGGGGGGTGGCAGCCAGATAGAGACGCCACTGTTCCGCGTCGCGCAGACCTTCAGAGGCGGCGGGAAGCCGAGCAGGTAGCGGGGAGCAACTGCATCTCCTGGCTCTGCGCGGAAGGCTCTGCCCTGCAACTTTGCTAATCCACCCACAGGAGCGAAGGGTGGGTGTAAATGGTGTGTTGCTTTCTTTCAACTTTCTCCTCAGATAAAATGGTCAGAGTATGCCTGTGTTGTATGGGGTGGGGGTGGGGAAGTGGGGGTGATGGGGATGAGGGGGGAAGAGAACGGGGAGGAGGAGAGCTCAGAGATGACCTTCTTCGGACTAACCAAAATTTTCAACCCTCCAGTCCCTCCTCTTTAGGGAGAAAAATGTTTCTGACCTGAGAAACGTTGGGATTTAATGATGGTTGCTGTGGATTTCTGTTAAAGTTCTTTGGAATGTTGACTCATAACGGTAGGTATACAAGGTAACTGACCAAAGGCCCGGGTTCTTAGCAGTAGGTGTCATAAGTACATTGCTACCAAGGAATTGATCTTGAACGCAAATTTCTTACAAAATATTTTATTAAAAAAAAAAAGTAGAAAAGGAAAAGCCATTTCCATCATTAAGTGAGGGGGGGATGTATTGAGTACCTTTCCGCTTTGATCTAATCCCATTAGGTTTTCAAGAGTTGTCCCTTAATGATCAGTTAACAAGAGTGCTAAGAACTGGGCCCAGAGTGCTACAATCCATGTGGCAGCAAGGTCTTCGGGGTTCAACACAATTCCTGCCTTTGAACAGCCCTTAATCTAATAATGATGATGTTAAAATGTTACTCCACTTAGGGTCAGTTGATCAAGGTTCAAGTATCAGAACCTCTGACCATTAGTTTTGTGGTCCCTTCTCCCCGAGTTGCCCTCTTTTCTCGATCTTGCCAGAGCACGGACTCTCATTTGCTGGGAAGATCAACAAAGAAGTTTGGAGAAATCTTGACTAGACAGAGTGGTGAAGTTGCTGTTACCAGATTAGAAATTACAGAGATCACTCCATCCATTCACTGAGGAAAGCAGAGTCATTTTGGCTAGTAAAAAAAACTTTAAAGAAAGCACGACTTTGCATCACAATATTTGCATGTAATCACGGCCATTTTCTTCTAAGTATAAGAAACAACAGGTTTTCTTCATCATATCCTCTACACTTGAAAGAGAAATAAAATTTTACCACTGATTCAGGAATTAAAAATGAGTGGCATCTAACAGACCCAAAAGACCCCTCCATATTACTTCAATATGCCTCTAATTTCATTTAGTGTTACATAAAGAACCATGATCTTCCCATTTTAGTTATTTGTTCTTCAGAAATCATCTTTCTCCGATCCCCAATTTCCTCACCTTTAAATCAAGGGAAACAATATTCTTTAATGTTTCACTGAGATCCTGTAATTTAAAGAAAACAATTCTATTGTATGATCACCTGAGCTTTATGTGAGTTTAATAAAATTATGTATATCAATGCGAGCTGTAACACATGGACACAAATTTATTCATAAAACAAGGATGCCTCCTCCCTGAATTGTTGGCAGGCACTATACTAGGTGTTGAACATGCTGATTGACACTATTCAAATCCTTAGAATTAGACTAACAAAAAGAAGTTAATTTGTGCACAAGGACAGCAAAATATGTCTGGAAGTTGTTTGGTCTTTTTTCTTTTTTCAGAGAAAGTATGAATCCTCATTTAATAATTGAGGTTAAAATAAGCATACACTGTTACTAGGCTTTCAAAGAAAGTATCAATCCTCATTTAATAATTAAGGTTAAAATAAGCATACACTGTTACTAGGCTTTCAAAGAAAGTATCAATCCTCATTTAATAATTAAGGTTAAAATAAGCATACACTGTTACGAGGCTCAGGAAGGTAGAGTGTCTTATCTCTTTGTTTTCTAATGTATCCCTGAATTCTACAACAGATTCTTGCATTCAGCAGGTGCTTAATAGTAGTTGCAGAATCAATGAATGATGTGTTTATCTAGATTATGCCCTGAGAACATTTGACATTTTCCCTTATCATTCTCTTTTAACTCACTGTAGACATTTCTCCCTTTCTTTTCTAAGGATTGAAAGTGAAAGTAAAAGGTAGCACAAACTTTTAAGTTTCACATTCATCAAATATATAAAATTGTGGCATTCAAGGTATTTTGATTAAGTCTTATACACAGGTATAAAAAATGAATAGTAAGCCGCTCAACTCTTACAGAATTTGCTTTTAAGAAGTATTACAGGTCCTTGAGTTGATTCTGACTCACAGTTATCCTTTAGGACAATGTCCTATATGTTTTCCTAGGCTATATTCTTTATGGGAGCAAATTGTCAGGTTTGTTCTTTCACAGAGCTGCTTGTGAGTTCATACCATCTGTCATTTGGCTAAGAGGCCACCAATTTAACCATGGTACTACTATAGATACTTTATAAAATATGAAAAAGGAATACTAATTTGCAAATGTTGTTGTGTAGTGCACAGTCAAAACCAACCCATAGCTGACTGGAGCTCCAGCAGGTTTCAGAGGGAGTTAGTTACTCGCATGGGAGGAGATTGCCCACATTGGGATTGCCACACAGTTTCTTATCAGTAGGCCAATTTGTTGTTGCTATGAACCATCTAATTTTTTGCAAATCAGAGTCCCTATGTACTGTAAGTAGTTCTGAAACCAGCCCTGTCCTGAGCCAGTCTCACAGTCTCTGACGTACCTGCCCTCATTGTCCCAGTTACTGTATCAATCCATTTTATCTGGAGTCTTTCTCTTGCACTCTGCCCCTCCAACCTTCCAAGTAAGATGTCTTTCTCCAGCGACTGGTCCTTTCTGGCCACATGCCCAAAGTATGTGAGGTGGAGCTTAAAAATCTTTGCCTCTAGAAACTTGGTTTCACTTTCTCAAGGATAGACCTGTTTGTTCTCTTGACAGTCCATGGTATGTTCAATACTCTTCTCCAGCACTACAGCTCAAAGACATTGATTCTTCTTCTGTCATCATTGGTCACTATTCAGCTCTCTGATGCATAGCAAGTAACTGAGAAGACCATGACCTGGATTAGGCACACCTTAGTCTCTAGACAGACATCATTGCTCTTTTAGCACTATAGAGAGGTCCCTGACAGCACATTTTTCCAGTGCAATTTATCTTTTGATTTCCTGACTGCTGATTCCAAGAGTGTTGATTATGGATCAAGCTTAAATTTTGTAACAATCTCAAAGCCTTCTCTATCTATCCTGGTTCTCCCAATTGGCCCAGTGGTGAGAATCTGTCTTCTTGACGCTGATCTTCAATTCATAATGAAGACTACCTTCCTTGACTTTCTGCAGAAAATGCTTCAGGTCCTTTTCAGTTTCAGCAGGCAAGATTGTGTAATTTGCATAATGCAGGTTGTTAATGAGTTTTTCTCCAATCCTGATGCCACATTCCTCTTCTTAAAGTCCAACCTCCCAAATGATCTGTTCTGAATATAGATTGAAAAGATATGGAGACAGGACACATCCCTGATATGCTTCTTCCCTGATTTTGAAACATACAGTGTTTCCTTGGGTCTGAATATTATGCTACAGTGCCAAAGAGCCAAAGCAAAGGGAAGAAATCAGGAGAAGCTGAACAGAAGATTTCAACAGGCAGCTCATAAAGACAAAGCAAAGTATTATAATGAAATGTGCAAGGAACTGGAGTCAGAAAACCAATGGGCTAAACTCACTCAGAATTTATTTCTTAAGCTGAAGGAACTGAAGAACAAATTCAGTCCTTGAGTTACAATATTTAAGGATGCCATGGGCAGAAGCTGGGAGGTCAGCAATGAATTGGTTCCAACTCAATGGTACATAACAACAACACAAAATGGGCAGAATATTGAATGGCCCAGGAAATATAAAAGAAGATGGAAGCAAAAAGCACACAAAGTCACTGTACCAGAGAGAATTGACCAACACAGAAGAATTTTGTGAAATTATATATGATCACGAGGCAAGGACTCTGAAGGAGGAAGTTCAACCCATTCTGAAGGAATTGGCAAAAAACAAGAACCTAAAAAACAAGAATTGATGGAATGCCATTTGACGTATTCCAGCTAACAAGTGCTGCCCTGGATGTGCTCACCAAGTTGTGCTAAAAAATTTGGAAGACAACTACCTGATCAACTGACTGGAAGAAATCCATATTTATTTCCACTCCAAAAAAATTAAAAAAAAGAAAGGTGATCCAACAGTATGGAAATTATTGAACAATATCACTAATAATGACCTGCAAGCCAAATCTTGCTGAAGATTATTTTAAAAAAATAAAATTACTAGAACAGTATATTGACAGAGAACTACCAGAAATATAAGCATGGTTTAGAACAGGCCATTATACTAGGGACATCATTGCCAATATCAAATGGATCTCAGCTGAAAGCAGAAAATATAAAGGGAATGTCTCTGTTTCATTGGCTGAAAGCAGAGACAATCAAAGCAATGTATTTGTTTCATTGTCTATTAAAAAGCTTTTGACTATGTAGATCACAATAAATCATGGCTAACACTGAGAAGAACAGAAATTCTAGCACACGTGGTAGTGTTAAATACATATTTATGTATCTGTGTGAAAGACAGCTCTACAGGAGTGGATTTGGGTTTTGGTTTATCTGAAGATTAGTTCATTCATTGCCAGTGAGCTGAAACCAACTCATAGCTGAGCCTCCACTGGGTTTCTGAAGCTGCAAAATGCAAGAAGAAATGGCCCATTTTAGCCTTCTGAGCCACTGGTGGGTTTGAACCACCGGAAAGGCAAGGTTTTTGGATAAGCAGTGCAAATTGCTATGGACTATGCCTTCAGAACTCCTAGAGTTCTGAAGCTTATAAATACAGAAGCTTATAGAGATGTAAAAAAATAAGTAAATAAAATTCCATAACCTCTTTCACTTTTGCTTTATTTTTAGTTATCATTCATTCACTCATGATGACCCCATGTATTTCAGGGTACAACTGTGCTCCATAGGATTTTCAGGGCAAATCCTTTCCAAGATACCTTATGTAAGTATACCACCAAGTTTGTCTTCTGAAGTGATCC